TTAGGGTAAATCGCATTGTAGGTCCTCTGTATCTTGTCCCCTTCCATTTCAGTCATCAATGCAACTTTATTCTCGTTTTATTTTGATCTCTTATTTTATGAATGTTGCAATTTAGTCCTTATTGGCCTTCAAGCATGTGTATGTATATATTTTTGTTACTATCTGAATTTGGGCACCATATTTTATATTGTTTCATTTAAGTCACTAATCTCATGTTTTGTGTGTTTTCTTTGATGTTCAAATTTGGACATGGAATTCGTGAAAGTTTTATTTTGGCCACTGATTGTAATTTATTTGTTTTAACTTTATTCCTTTCATTTATAAATATTTTATTTTAGTCATTGTTTGATGTTTGGTTTAATTACTTTGTGGTCTTTTATGTTTCTGTTTATTTTATTTTAGTACTTACTGTTATTTTTGGGTTATTTTCATTTTTGTACTTGTATTATTTGACATTTGCAATTTGGGCTTAGGTTTATTTATAATTAATTTATAGTCCTTTAAGTTTTTGATTTTTCTATTTTAGACCCTTTTGTTTATGTTTTTATCATTTTAGTCCCTCATATTATTCATGGTTTATTTATGCTTTTAGTACCTTCATTGTTTAATGTGTTGATTATTATCGTGATCATTGTCAATATTATTGTTTAATCACTCAAGTTAGTATTAATATTATTTTGATCCTTTTAATAAGCAAATATGTTTAGTTTCTTTTGTTGATACTATAGTATCCATTGATTCCATGATTTTATTTTGGTCCTTTATAGCATACTATATTGTATAGACATATCATTGTACCACGTTTAACAAGTATTTTATATTAATTACGTATCAAATATGTATGTATATATATAAGTCAGATAAATATGTCAATTACATTTGCGCCTTATTATTTGTGTATATATATTATTATATATATGTATTATTATTATATATTTATATTTATATTTATTTATTGTTAATTTTATTCTTTACTATATTACTATCCGAATAATTCCAAGAACGTATTTGTGGAACGGGCGTGGAAAGTATCACTTAATCGAAGTGGTATAATCCAATACGATATTCAAACAAATACGAACTTGAAATAAATCAATTTCATTTTATTAATTAATTTTACTAATACAATGTGTGTTATTTTAATTCATAATTTATTTCATTGTATGCGATTGCAAATCGTCGATTTTCATTTATATTCGAATCCTATATTTATTAATGAGAGTATATTATTTTATTGATAAAGAAATAATCGAGTTAACTTTCCCGATGGAGGATTGCTAATTTCGAGATTTCCTTTCGAGTTAAAAAATTTTCTCTAATTATTTAATTCAAAGTAAATTAACCAATGTTTGATAAATAGATCATATTTTAACTTTATATTCGACTCGTAATTTTCACTATTTACGACGATGTGTAAGCGACACAGTACCAATTTTAGGCGCTGTGGTGGTGCTCATCCTTCCCCGCACGTAACCGACTCCCGATTCCATTTAAATGAATCCTTGGTAACGCAGACCGAATTTTGTCTTAAAATGATTTTTTTTAAATTGTTTTAAAAGACATTTTTAAGTATTCGACCTACCTAACCCAAAAGTCGATGACGACTCCCATTCGATTTAATTCTAAATTAATTCCAAATTACCAAAATTTTCAAATTAAATTCATAATCGTTTTTTTAAATAATTTTTAATTATTTTACCTAAAAATGATTATCACAGCAGCCATCAAGGGTCCTGATCCGAGAGTAGATTTTAACTCGATAGGGTGGGGAAGCAGCAAGGATCAGTCTTTTACGATTAAATCAGTTTATGAATTAAGATCAGGTCGATCTAACGGTGAACAGCACCCAGTCTGGTCCACTGTTCATAAATTCAGAGGGCTGCCGAAAGTTAAATCCTTTCTTTGGTTACTTGGGTGCAAGAAGCTCATGACTAACGAGGAGCGTAATAAACGTGGGTTTACGGCGGATCAGAGCTGTGCTGCCTGTGGTGCCAAGGTAGAAGACGGAGATCACGTTTTTTAGCGCTGCTCTCAGGTGGTGCAAGCTTGGTTCGAATTGTTGCCGAACTCCGAGCTGGAAAAGTTCCTAAGTGCGGACATCCACGATTGGATCCACCTTAATTTATCGGGAGCCTGGAATAATAGAGTGTAGAACGATAACCGGGTTCTGGTCTTTGGCTATGTCACATGGAATTTGTAGATATATCGGAATGCCTATATTTTTAACAACCCTTTGATCGGTTTTGAGTCGGTTGTTGAGCAGAGCTACCATATGATTGATGCCTCGATTGGGGCGACCGAGACTAACCGAGGAGTGTCCCCTAACATCGTAGTCTTGGATAGGAGCATTGTTAAATGGTGTCCTCCAGAGAAGCAATGCTTCAAAGTTAACTCCGATGCAGGTCGGAGTGTGGAGTCTGGAGTTGCTACCCGTGACGGAGTGGCTAGGGGCAGCCTCGGGGATTCTATAAAAAGTTCATTGGCATTTGTTCGAGTTTGGATGCTGAATTGTGGGGTGCTTTCTTGGGTTTGAAGCTGGCATGGGAGAAAGGTTTCCGCAAGATAATTCTTGAGTTAGATAGCACAGAGGCGATTCGGGTCCTGAAGACTGAGCTGTGTGGGAGGCACTTCGTTGATCTTCAAAATCGTGATGGGAAATTCATATTAGTCAGTGTGGCTGGAGGGGAATAGAGTAGCGGATGCTTTCACAAAGAATGCAAGACTGAATACTACATAAATTGTTCATTAAGATGTTCCACCTTCATATATACAGGTTTTTTTCTTCGTCTGAGGATTCTATATCGATTTAGTTTGTGTTCTTGTAATCTTAGTTTGAATACTCTTTTCTTCTATTTAGGATTATCAAGGTTTTTAATGAATACCGGAATAAGATTCTTATGCATGACTCTTTGAAATTAAATCATACCTTTGACTAAAAAAATGTCTATAGCCATTTAAGACTTAGATTTATGTCTTAGACACTCTTCTAATTCCAAAAAAAAAAAAAAAGTGATGCCTTTTTTAGATTGAATTAAGGTTTTACAAATAATTAAACTGGTGATAACCCTTAACTTTTCTCTTTTCCCCTTAGCCGCTCTTCCCTTACCCTTTCTTTTTTCTTTTCTTTTTTTCTTATTACTTTGAGTTTGTGTAGTTTTTTTTATAGATAATATCAATTTTTTTGTTTTTTGTTTCTGTTTAATCAGGTGCGGTATCGATTTTGTTATTGGTTGTCGTCTGTCAGTTCTCTTTTTTTCTTTTTTTTTGTTTTGTTTTTAATCTGAATAATTTTGTCTTTATGATATTTTTATCTCAGCCTTTGTGGCTCGTGTTTCATTTTTTTCTTTATCGTTTAACCGTTTTTTTATTTATGTTTTTTTAAGGTTGGATTTGACGACGCCACGTCTGATCAAGATGGTTCTTATTTGAAATATTGTTGATCTTCCATGTGATGGACTTTTTGATTGAATTTAGATGCGTAATTTAGTATTCATATATAATTTCTCACGACGTTCGGTTCTGATTTACAGTTATCAGTGGTCTTTCAATAGCTTAATTTCCTTTTGTGGTTCGTTTGCCGATGCAATCAAATTTATTTGTATCTATATTTGTTCGAGTCTTTTGGTTGGGTTTTTAACCTTTTTCATGTAGAGTCTTTCTATAATCTAAAATGACTAGTTTCAATGTTATAGGAAAAGTCCAAATTATGCATTTAGTTTACGATGATAGTTATAAACTCTTATTGTAATTTCAAATATTTTCAATTTTAATAATACTAGTTTCTTCTTTTAAAAAATTGAATTAAGGTTTTAATATTAGTCAAAATTAATGTTGTTTTATATTATATATTTAATTGACGATTAGGTGTGTTTCTAAATGTATAGGATAACGTTAATTAATTTTGTTAAGGTTCATCCGCATGTGTTGAGCTTTAATTTTTAAATTTTATTTTATTTTGAAATATGCTTTTCACCTTTAACTTTTCACGTTTGATTTTTTACTTTGTTTTTCAATGGTCTGATCTCATGATTTTCTTTTAGAAAAGGATTTGTCTAAAGCCCAAATCATACGGGTGCTACTGGGCCAAGTTTTCCATCAATGGTGGAACGAATTGCAGCCGTTCTGTGTAAACGGCGAGAAAAAACCCTAATTTCTTAAAACGGCTAAAACCCTAAACTCGCTCTTCATAAACCTTTCTTACCTTCTCCCCCATCAGCACCTAAATCTTAGTTTACTCAATTTCTTTTTCTTTTCCTTGGTTTTTTACTTTTAAATGAATTTATTAAACCTAAATCAGCAGTCGGTGAAAAAATTATCGTTGATCAGTGTTTAGAAGAAAAAGAGATAAATTGTAGGTTATTGTAATGAAGGGTTCATCCTTATTTTTTAGTTTTGATGGGAGTACTAATAGTGGCATTTAGTGCCTGTGTTAGACGTAAGAGTCGTTATAAATATTTATAGGTTAAAAGGCTAAGTAGATATGATAATCAAACCTTAGCTTTCGCTGGCTCGAAACCTTTTGTCCGAAGAAGTTTAACTTTTTGGAAGCTTCGATAAACGAAGGAATCAACCTAGGGTTCCAGGTTAGCGAAGGGCTGGTTGTTTCCGTAGTAGGTTCTCCAAGTACATAACACTTTTGTTCATTTCTCAGAATTTGGTGGTGAACTTGCAAGGGTTTAATTTCCAAACTGATAAAACTAAATCAACCCGATCCAAAACAAGTCATGCAACTTTATGCAGCATATTTTATGAAAAGCTCGGGCTCTCTCTCCTTTGTTATTTGCTGCTTAATTCATTAATTTCATGCCGCTTGCTGCTGTTGCTCCATTATATTTCAGGTGAAAAAGCACAGCCTTGTAGTTTAATGACAGAAACATGTAGGTAATTATAGGTATCCATTAAACAAAAAACTGACACAATATCCAAGGCTTCTCCATGCATGGCTATTGTTTACAAAAACAAAAAAAAACCTAGAGAGTATGTGAATCTGATTCTCTATAAGATGATGATTACCTTGTTTTATGATCCTTCCTACTATGTAGAAATGACTGAATGTATATATAAAAAGAGCTGCTTTATCAAGTACTTGTTTTAATGTACAAAACTTTGGTAGTTAATTATGGATCGGAGGCTTCCTTGTTGCCGGACTGTAGTCCATAGCTACTAATTCATCAACCTTAACATGATCTTCTCCATGATTTTCCGTCGCCGTAAGCACTTTATCATTGTGAAGTACTTTCTGAGTTTCCTTAGCCACCGGCATATTTCTTGCTGAAGAAACAAAACAAAGAGTTCAGATCCGATCTCCTAAAGGCTAAAGCTATATATATAAATTCAATTGGAGATTCAAAACTTTACCTCTAGCTGTTGTAGCGATGAAGAGGAGGAAAAAAGCAACAAGAAGAAGACGCTTGCAGGGAACCCTAGCCATTATTTTTTTTCTTCTTCTTTTTCTGGTTTATTTCTGAATATGTTTTCTGTGAGAACATCTTCAAGTTGGGTTTGTCTTATATAGAAGCAAAATCTATACTATGTCGACAAGTGGTTAATTAATGGACAATGACATGGAGTTTTGTAGTAACTCTACGTTAGTGATGTGGTCTGTTAGAGTCACCATCAATGTCTCCTGCCGTCTTCTCCATGACAATGCTACCATGTGTACTCATCTAATGTAACTACGTACCCATCTATGTGTCATTCCGACTGTTATGATTAAGTAATTTCTTTTATCCTTCGTGTAACTACGTACCTCGATTTTTCTTTCTCAATTAATTAGCTTACTCAACTTGTACAAAGAAACAGGGACCGGGGAACAAGTTCTAGAATGCATGGCGTGCCGATTTATGGTCCAAAACATACCAATGTTGCCAACACTTATGGCCCTGCATTGCCAATAGAGTAGCAGTTTCTGAACAAGGTACAAACATAGCAACTGACACTGTTCTTGAATCCTTGCACTAATACAGCAAGAAGAAATTTTAATTAAGGACAACACAACATCCCTCGTTTTATAATTATTATACTCCTCTGGATCTCTTCTACAAATAATTACTCGACGATAGACTCCGGAATCTTCATATCTTCCAGACATATATCTTCTCTTGACATGATTTCTATTAGATCCATGTGATTTGTCAAGACAAATATACTACCACTCGATCACATTTATTAAATCTATCAACCGGCATTAAGGGTCTCTGTATAAATGGTCACCGTCTCACGTCAAGACTAAAGGAACTCTTCCTTTCCAGCCCTAACACCATAGATTTTTTAGTTCATATTTACTGTAATTTATCGGGAGACGGGGAAAAGAATTAACCTTTAAGCTTCTAACTTATCCATATCATTAAATAATTTTTTTTGCTAAACAACAGTGTACTTAAATATTTAAGTTATTATACATTAAAATCAATAAAACTGATCAAATCCAACATATTGAATCGAAAACTAATAGTTTGTCTGATTCGATCTCTCGTTCGGTGTATATAACGGACACCGGGTGGGACAGCGATCGTTTTCAGAAAGGGGAGGTGATCGACAATTTCTTGAAGGAAAAAGATAACGTGGAGGGAGCTCAAGTCATCAGCCGGAGGGGTCCTCCTTGTCCGCAAAATAAAAAACATACGCAAAACATGATTTATACGGCTAATTAATGCCTTCAAATGCAGACGTTTTTAAGGCAGAGTAATGCAGATTTATCACCAAGATGGATACTAGGGAGTTGACAGGGTGGTCGCTATCATGGAAATTTAAAAATTTATATTTTTTATTAATAATATATTTTTAATTTCTTAAAATTTTATAAATTCGTCCTTATTTTACTGCCCGAACTATAAAACAAAATCACCCAGAGTCTAACTTTTCTCAATAGCATGCTTCCGGGAACAACAGCACATGAACTCTAGGGCCATGTTGCTTTCAGGCTTTTTTTGCTATAATGAAGCTATGATTATGTTGATTCTTTTCCTTTTATATGGTAACTAATTTTCATGTGTAGAATTTTTTATATTAACATACTAGCTTTCAAATATTATTAAAGATCATTACTCTAAATGAGTGACATCATGGATCAATGGTTAAATATAATTTTTTTCGTGAGATTTTAGGTTGAGTAGCTGTGTCTACAGAGTATATGCGTTGTCAGATTATAAGCGCATACTCTCTTGAAGTCATTTCAAATTAATTCTAAAAAAAATATTTAATAGAATACATTTATATTTTTAAACACTTAACTTTTTATCTGATATGAATTAATATATCTTAGTTCTTTAGAACGTTTGACACGATATTCTTATCTATCTAATTTAATGATCTTTTTGCGATAAATTTGAACTTTTATATAATTTCCACATCTATTGTTGACTTGGAGGGGCAAAATTTGTATTTTTTGATGCCAAAACAGCGTAAGGAGTATGGTCCCAAGCAGTGATTAGACAAGCAACGCTTTAAATCAAAAGGGTGGATACTATCACCATATAAATGTGAATGGGCCTATCTTGTGCCCCAAACCATATGACAATCTCCACATGTTAGTAGGTGAAAATGGGAAGATTGTCTATTTTTTAGAGAATTCTTTCATAATTGAAGTAACAACAATGAATATGGTATCTGAAGATACTAATTTTTTACCCTTATTATTATTATTATTATTATTATTATTATTATTATTATTATTATTATTATTATTATTATCATTATCATTATTATTATTATTATTATTATTATTATTATTATCATTATTATCATTATTATTATTATTATTATTATTATTATTATCATCATTATTATTATTATTAAATATATTAAATACATATATAAATATTATAAAAATAATAATAATAATAATAATTAATTACATGCCCAATTACAACTGGACCGGCCCAGTTACAAACAAACTAGAACCGGTCCAGATCAAACCAGAAACCCTAAACATTTGGGGGTTTCAGTTAGGGTTTCATAACCCTAATCCCAGCCGCCTCATCATCACAGCCGTTGGATCTGAGAGATCCAACGGTCCTCAGATATGCCAGAAGAAACCCTAGGGTATCATTACCCTAGGGCCACGCGGCGCCGCCCCAGTTTCCAATCACCGCTGCCGACACTTTTTCGCCGCCTCCGCCGCTGCCACGTCCCAAATGAAGACTCCAGAAGACCAGTTGCCCTCCACACGCCATGGCTAAGGGGTGAGTCACCACTGGTAGTCCGGTGACTCACCAAAACCCCCTCTTCGGACCGGTCCGACGGCCACAACGGTGGTGGCTATAAAAGCCACCACCCGAACCTGAAAGAAAAAAAGGAGAGACAGAGAACACAGAGACAGAGAGAGACCAAAAACAGAGAGCAACATACTACCACAACTAGCAAAAACCAAAACAGAAAAGAAAAAAAAAGAAAGAAGAAAGGAGCCCGAGGAAGCCATCGGACCCCTTCGAACATCATCAAAACCTTCGGAAACCGAAGGTACTTCTTTAGATTCGCTCCGATCAGGAGATATTTAGGTGAAAAGAACACCGGAACCGTCCTAAGGACGGTCCGATCTATCCGATGGTATAAAAATAAAAATTTTCTCCGATGAGGGAAGCTAGAGAGAGGCGAGAGAGTTTTTAAACTCTCTCAGTTTAGAGAGAGAGAGTAAATTGAGAAATGAGAGAGCTGGCCCTTCGGGCCAGCCATTTCGGGCTTAAATAGCCCTTCTCAAACGACGCCGTTTTGGGGAGGGCTATTTGTGTAATTTTATAAATGTTAAACCCTTTCCGTAATCCCTCTGTTTTATATGTTTTACATTTTAGTCACTAAATCGATTTTATAATACTTTTAATTCAGATCTTTAATTTTAATTTCTTTTATTTTAGTCCTTTATATTAAAATAATATATTTAGGATAAATAACAGATTTAATCCTTTAATTTTAATAAATAATATTTTAATCCTTAGTTTATATTTTTAATTTATTTTATTATAATATCCTAATTTTAGATAATTTTATTTTAGTCATTAAATAAATAAAATAAAGAAATAGCATGTTTAATCCCTAATGTTTCGATTAATTATGAATTAGATTTTTAATTTTATTTTCACTGTAATTTAGTCATTTATTTTATATGTTTTTATTTATTTTAATGTTTTTAAAATATATTGTTTTAGTGATATTTTTATTTTATTTGTTTATATTTTTAAATATTTTTATGTATTCATAAATATATATATAATAAATAGTAATTAAATTTTTTATTTATTTTTAATATCGAAGAAAAGGACAGTCTTAATACAACTGGATGTCCTGTTCTGGTATTTTAAAATTAAACAATATTATTTAAATTAATATTTATCAATATCAACGAAAAGAGCTGTCTTAAGGCACCTAGAAGTTCTTTTCTGATATTTTTAAATAAATAAATATTTTTTTATATAATTTTGAAATAATAGGATTATAAAGTAAATATATTTTTGAATTTTTAAAATTTTAATAATAGAGACAATTTATAATTAAAAAGTACCAATTTTGGGTGTTGTAGGGGTGTTAATCCTTCCCTAAACGTAACCGACCACGAATCCTTTTTATTATTCAAAAGAATGAATTTTTGGTTATAAACGCAGATCAGTTCAATTTTTTAATTGATGTTTTCTTAAAACTCTTTTAAAAAATAATTTTTAGGTATTCGACCTATCTGACCCAAAAGGCCGATGGCGACTCCCCAAATTATTTTCAAAACCATTTATTCATATCGATTTTCCCCCCAAAATAAATATTTCGTGCCCGGACAAAAACCGGTTACGACAGCTTGGCGACTCCGCTGGGGACTGGTCAAACTTTTAAAAATCAATTATAAATTGTCTCTATTAATTAAAAATTAAAAATTCATATATTTAATTTTTAATTTTTTTTCTTTTCAAAATTTTTATATTTAATTATTATTTTCATAATATTTACATGTTTTATTTATAAGTATTTTATTTCATTATTTATTTTGTCAGAGGTATGAATATTTCTCCTCACACACAACACTTGCATTGCATAACATAAAGCTCTATAATTGAGTTGTCCCTTTTAAGTGGGAGTGAAAGCGACGTCTTCGTGAGAATTTATTCTCCGTGTCAGACCTAGCAAGTAACTTCCGGGGTTCATATGCTCTCTGTCTTCGTGAGAATTTATTCTCCGTGTCAGGCATAGAGAAATGTATCCCCTCGAATTGAACTCGATCCACTTTAGTCTGTGATGGACTAGGATTGAGGGTTGGCAACCCAAGGGGGCACTAACAAGGACAATTCGGGTACCTTTATTCTTAGATCTGAAACCCTGCATATAAAAAACCTTAGAAACTCGTCCGATCCGAAGTCATGCCGAAATTTTGTCTAAAATAGGAGTACACACAGGAGAAATGAATTCTAACTTTCTTGCTTATTTATTTTCTTTACTGATTAAATTACATGTATATTTAAATTATTTAAATTTAGAAAAAGTATGTTTAAATAAAAAAATATTTATGTAAATGTTATTATTGAATTTTTTTATTATGTAAAC